CTAGTGGAAGGTGCAAACTGGTTTACTCCTCAGTTTAACACTCCAGTTAAATGCTTACCTGGCTGTGTGCATGAAAATGAGATGGACAAGAGACTGAAGTGGGCAATAAACAGCACACGCATCAGTTCATGAATCACAGCATATTTCAGTGTTAAAGCTGTATTTTATATTTAATTAGGCAAGAGATTATTTATTGCTTAAAAATAGAGTACTGTGTACCATATGCTACGCAGTTTCACTAAGCTGTTACCGCAGTCTGCTGCAGTTTTCCTTTAAGCTTTTAGGTGTGGTTTTTAAAAGCATTTTGCTGTTGTTTTAGTTAGAATACTAACATTCCTAGGATATCTTTCTTAAAATGCCAAATGTAAGGTAAAGGGACACTGTCAAGTATCTTAGGCCAAACTATGACAACTCTGCTCAGAAGTATTTGAAATATCTCCATTCAAAATTATTTGTCAGACTTGCCTCTGGATTTCCTCTCTGCGTCCCAGTTCTTAGAGGTTTTTCATCCTGTGGCAAATATTTTTATAGAATAATACAATCATAGAATGGTTTAGGTTGCAAGGGACCTTAAAGTTTGTGTAACTCTTAAAGTAACTGGCTCCACCTAGTAAGTCAGATGTTTCTCTGCAAGCCTTTCATGTAGACAGTCCTGAAGCTGGCTCAAGCATATATTTGGAATAAAAACACTGCATCATTTTTATTTAGCGTTTGAGTCTTTATGGTCCCTTCAGGCTTTCCTGCCCCAGGAGACTAGTTTTGTGGCTTTTTTGCTCTCTAAAAGAGGACTAAGGGTGGGAACCAGAACCTGTAGTTTAAAGATGAAAAGCAATGGTTTACTTCTGACAAAGGAGAGTGTTTTAAGAAGGAGAAACAGTTTCAAAAGAGGAAATACTGAGGCTGATAAGGTAGGGACAGGGGTGTAGCTGTTCAAAGCAGCTGTTCAAGAACAGGAATCCCCTTCTGTCAGCTAGAAGAGTGGGTATTTTCCACCTCAGAGGCTGTGCAGAGAAGAGAGTAAAGGACCCATCACTAGTACTGACCTTTTGTTTGAGTGTCCCAGACGGTTTATTCCTGGAGGCTTGGAAACCCAGTAGAGCACTTGGCACAAGTGTAGGTTTGTGCAAGAGATTATTTCATTCAAGCACCTTACACCTCCATTCATAAAGCACTTGTTCAGGCAGGCTGTGCCAGGGACGCTGATAAATCTGTTTAGTTACAGATGTTTGGGTGATTTGTTCAACTTGGCCTTTTATTATCCATAGGAGTGCAATTAAGAGAAAAGAAAGATTAAAAATTGAACATGAAATTAATTGAAGAGGATGTCACACTCAGGGGACAGAGAGTAGACATTGTGGTCAGCATAGGCAAGTGGTTGTTTTTCCTGGGTGCTGCAACAATGGGAGGTAATGGTTTTTTGTTACGCAGAGGTCTATGCAAAGGAAATAACATGGTTGCTTTAACAATATGACAGTGTTCCTTTATTCAACGTTACTCGATGTTGCTGTATGAAAAATCACAGAGATATATTGCATGAGAGTATACCACAAAACAGCAAAGCTACAAAAGCCTGGCTTTGCTCCTTTTTTAAAAAATTGAAATTGCACTATAGTTTTAACTACGCTCAGTCACTGAGATTGTAACTTGTTCAGAAGCATCTTTTGGTCTTAACTGCCAAAGAATTGCAAACCCCGTTCACATCAAACTTCATGCTCCACGTGGGGGAAAAAGAGATTTATGTATACCAGCGTCTGTACAGTTACAGAGATGTAGACGGTTGTGTTCTGGAATGTTTCTTGATGCTTTTTTTTTTCCTTTTTTAACCTCAGGAATTAAAAAGAAATAAAATTCTGTATCATTGAGAGTATGAGTCCTTTTTCTGCCTTGTAGAGATAGCTTTGTCTGGAAGATATATCAGATGATTTTATGATCAACTTCTAAGCAGGAAAAAAATTACAAAATAAAGGAAACAGAAGAGTTCCTCATGCCGGTGGACAAAGAGCACATCTGTACAGTGCGACAGAGCAACAGTGATGATCCTTAAATAAGTACAAAGTGAGGCACTCCCCAGTCGATGGGAAATACCACCATGTCCTGGTGACACAGAGCAGCAACCCTGTGGCTGAGAAACCTTCATCCGCCTTTGCTTCCCCTCAGAGGCCAAAACAAAGCCACCCCAAGGACAGTGATTGCACTGGCTCTGGCCTGCAGCACTGAGCAGGGTTGTCCTTCAGCTTAGGGCTCCTGTCTGGTTTTCCCCAGGCCCTGGCCGGGTCTGTACACCCGGGTTACATGGCATGGCTGTGGGAGGGGAAGGAGCACTGTGTGAGCCAGGGGCACTCTTCACCAGTCGCCTCTGTGTTTGCACCTGTAGTTCCAGCCTTGGAGCATGTGGTAAAAGTTGGCTCTATAAAAGCATGGTCTCTGCTTATAGGAGAAGGCATCAGTTAGGCAGGTTTGCCTGCAGAGAGTGAAAGTTTCTCATCGGCTCTCCCAGCTTCCTCTCCTCATACCACAAGCAGGCTGGTGCCACGCTACGTGACTGCCGGCACCACTATCGCAGCTGCTTCTGAGCCCTTCACCATCAGTGACAACCCAAAGCTATGTCACGGCCATCCTCACTACGGCACAGCTCTCACATAGTCTGGGATGCTTGGCCAGCACGCAGGTCTGGCCCAGTTCCCACCTGGGTGAAATCTGGGGGCCTGGCACTCTGCTGGCTCTCAGAAACCTGAGGTGGGGACTCAGTGGGACAGAAGCCATGAGGTAAAACCTGCCCCAGGGGGAGCAGCCTGACTCAGAGCGGGACGTGCGCGACCCAGGGACAACCCGGCCACCCCAAACTACTGAAAGTTCATCACTGTTTCACAACCCTCAACCGTTTCACTTGCTGAGCAAGCATGAAAATTTCTCACCACATTTCACGGAGCAAGAAGTCTTTTACCTCCATTGAGAAGGCCCCAAAACTCAAGTTCCTGGGGCTGGGAGGACACCATGCAGTGAAGAGGAGCTCGAGGCCACTGGGCAGGACCACAGGTCAATGGCAGCTAAGGTTTGCACACTTGTTTGTTTGTTTGTGATTTGAGGGCTTTTCTGGGGCTAGGAGGACCCCCTGGGTAAGGAGCACCATTGCCCCCAGCCCTGGGAAGGGGCTGCTGTGGGGAAGCATCTGCCCCAGCATGCTTCCTCTTCCCACGCCCTCAGAAACCTGCCCTCCCTCCCAAAACTGCACCCCACCCATTGTCTTGGGAGCCGAAACCCACTCTGCTGCCTGTGAGGTCCTCAGCTGCGGCTTCCACACCCCAAGGCTTAGGCGTGCATAGTAAACCCTATGAGCAAGGTTTTCCTCTGGCCTTTTTGGGGAGGGGTAAAACCTGTTGTTGGGAACAGGTTGTATGTATGGATCCAAACCTGGGAATGGCGTGTGGGCAAGAAACAACCAGTTCATCCCCTCGCTGTTTGTTTTTATTTAACAGAATTTCAGCTTCTGGTCACATTAAGCTTGACACACCATTAAAAAAACCCAGACTTGTCTTACGCATACAGTAAAAAGTCATACATCTATCACTCTTACTTTCCCTGAGAAAAAGATAAAAATATTTTAAAATCCAAATAAAAGTAATTGAAACAAGAAGCCCATCTACTCGATATACCCCATTAGCTAAAATAGCAGCGCCAAATCTTGAAAAAAGCTTGTGTTTATCGACACGGTTAAATGAGTAATGCACAACGAGAACACTTTGTTCCTGCAAGAAATAATTAAAACAGGTTAACTGTGGTTATTTAAAAGAGCCTCCTGAGAAGGACAATTTGTGATTGAAGACTGGGTGGTGCAGGCTGTGGCTGTGCAGAACAGGCGACGCCACATCCCAGACTGGGGACAGGCAAGGGGGAACAGCCACGTGGAGCCCAGGCAGCTTTGGGCACCGTTACGGCACCAACACTGGCACACTGAAAGCCCTTATTGTTGTGGGGTGCATTACAGCACACCGCTTTTGGGAACCACTGCCTCCACCAGCCTGAAGTCTCAATCCAAATCTCATTAGCGTTAGGTTTGACATTTAATTACTCTCTGTCTTACTGGCCACAGGCTAAATATGTTTTCTCACCATTAGCAAAGATATCAGCACATAACCAGCAGTCTGTTGGACCACAGGTTTGGTTTTTGTGTTCTGGTTTACGATGGCTATGTGCCACAGTATGGGAAACAGCTCCAGGACAGACAGCTCTGCATCACCCTTGAACTTTTATCACGAGGTGCTACTTGTCAATGCAGGGACTGCACAAACTGGCAGTATCGAAACAGGAGCCATAGCAAATAAACTGTACCAAATGTTGCCTTACGTCACAGAGCTAAAATATAGGAGAAAGACAGATCTAATTCTGTAATGACCATGATTGGCTTTCCTTTGCAAGAGGCAGCCCCCATGCAGCAGAACAGACTTGCGTCTGCACAGGCACAGGCAGCAGCCACTGCCTGCTGCATAAACCAGCAGAGGAGCTAAAGGCTGCTCTCCTTCAGGCAATTTGGTGTAGGTGTGAGCAGGGCTCCCAAGTGTGGCCATCTCCATAGGGAACCCCGTCTGGACAGCAAGCGAAGGCTGAACCCTCTCCTGCTGCCTCCTATGTCTGTGAGGGCTGGTTCATGCTGCTTCGTCTGCCTCTGCTGCTGCCGTAGCTGGGTTTATCACGTCTCTGCGAGGCTTATTATTTCAGGCTGTGGTCTGAGCCATAGATGGGCCAGGTATTTACAGCTGTCACAAAGACAGCTTTTATCCTCTACCAGTTCTGCTTACAAGAAGTATGGCTCCATTATGCTGCCCTGCGCTGAAGGTTTCTCTTCCTTTCATCCAGCAAGCCCAGGTTGGGTCCTGCTTGCCAAAGACAGAGCGTGTGAAGAGCCCCCAGCCCTCCCCACTCCTGTGAGACCATCTTTGGGGTATACAGATGGTTTCCACAGAGTTTGGTGCTTCTCTGGAGGAGGGAAAGGGGGAACTGACTTACAGGAGGAGTTGACAAGGGGGAGGAATAATGGAGGAGGTCAAGTGGGTGCTGAGGGTCAGCGAGCTTCTCACCTGCCGCCGGCCCAGCATGGCAAAGGACCAGTTCGAGCTGTGGTCCTGGCTGTCGCAGGCAGAGAAGCCCAGCTCTTGGCCTCTGCTCCGGCAGCAGCCACTGCTCTGCATCATCTGGGCCAGTGCCATCCGGAACCGCTCCCCAGCAAAGACGTAGAGGAAGGGGTTGAGGCAGCTGTGGAGGAAGGCAATGCTCTGCGTGACCTGCAGCCCGATGTCCAGCCGGTTGGCAGCCTGGCAGCTGTATGCCACCTGAGTGTAGGTATTGATGGTTTTGACCAGCAAAACGATGTTGTACGGGAACTGAGAGAGAAGGAACGCGGTGATGATCATGGTGATTATCTTCAGGGACTTCTGCTTTTGAGATCTTTTGGCTTGCAGGAGTGTGTTTATGATCAGGGCGTAACAAATAACCATGACAAAGAGTGGGAGGAAGAAGCCGATGGTGACTTTCAATGCCAAGATGGTGACTCTGAAGATCATGCTGACGTTTGCCGGGTACGTAATTTTGCAGACTGTCACATCGCCCACCTGCATGCTCTGGCTGTACAAGATTTCTGGGATGCACAGGCCCACGGCAATCAGCCAGACAGCCAAGCACACGAGTTTGCTGCGCAGGAGCCGCCTTCGTTTAGAAGTTTTGGCTGTCGTCACCTGGACGATAGTGATGTACCTGTCAAAGCTAATGCAGGTTAGGAACAAGCTGCAGCTGTAGAAGTTGATCTTGTACATGCTGTTGACGACTTTGCACATGAAGTTCTTGAAGACCCAGCCATCGGAGGCTGCCTTGGCCCAGAAGGGGAGGGTAAAGAGGAGAAGCAGGTCCGCAATGGCCAGGTGCAGCAGGTACCGATCCATCATGCTCCTCCTGAAGTGGTATTTGCAATAGACGAGCACGACCAAGGCGTTCCCCACTGTGCCCACAGAGAAGATGAGCCAAAAAAACACCAGCAGGAAAGCTCGTGCGAACTGCCTGACCTGCCTCTTGTCGCACGCGAAGTCCGTGCCATTCACGGGGTTTCCATACAGGGACAGCATCGTGCTGACATTGCTGTAGTAATCCAGGCTGGTCTTGTCAGGGTGGGTGACCTGCAATGGGACATGGGGTAAATTTGTGTTGAGAGGTGGCTCGGTAAAGCAGAAGTTATACCCCCTCCACCAGATGCAGTTGAAGATTCCCCAATGTATTTCATTTTAGATGGTAAAATGCAAAGGGTGCCAGTGAAACATAGCGCGTTTCAGACTGCTTGAAGCGTGTGGCAGAGCAGAGGCTTAGAAAAATGACCCACTGAGTAACAAACTGTTCACGAAAGAGCAGTTCACAGCCTTCAAGCAACTTCAGTTATTGAAACTGCAGGCAGTGGGAGCATTTTCCCTGTCAGATCATTCAAAACCCTGTTGGTTTGGCAGCTTCAAAGACATAACAAAACGCAAAATCCCCAACTTGCAAAAAGGTGAGAGAGAAGGCTTTGTGTTACTGCTACCATGGCACCATGGCTCGAGAGAGGCAGAAGACTGATGGAGGCAGAGGGGGAGAAAGAAAACCAGAAACTACACAGCAGCGTGGCTCTATACTCACTGCACTTGCAGCTGCCATCTTCATCCAGATCTTCATTCAGTCTTGAAGGAGACTCCGGAGCGGGAAGATGGGGGGAAAACAACTGATTTGAAACAGCTTTGACGTAGAACTGTGATTCTTTTCTTCCTTTCTCTTCCTCTTCTTCTTTTTATTTTAATAAAACCTCAACCCTTTGAAACAAGGCTGTCCCAGAGACAAATAAACCACACAGAAACTGATGTCACTGGTTTGAAATATTTAGCTGTTTTCATTTCACAAATTTACATTTAGCCTACATTAGATCTTTGGCTTCTCTATAGCACTGCTCTGATTAAGTCCTTTGGCATACTAGGGTCACTGCAATCTCACTTTTAATAAGATATAGAGTCCCCAGTGTGCACATTAAAAAAGAAAGTCATCTGAAAGCACCATATCTTCCAAAAGATTCATGAGAATAAATGAAATGTGTCTCTTACATTGTCTAGCAATTAACAAGGAAAAGTACCTGCCTTTAGTAGCAGTTTGCAGTGTTAAAATATTTGCATACTCTGAAGTGAGTGACAACCCCTGCCTGCAAAACCTCTTTCTTATCTGAGAGTTTAAGCGCAGTGCTCATTGCTGTTGGCCTGCAAAGCAGAGCATTATACCCCAGTAAACAAGAAAATATTGCTTTTTCCTGCTGCAGATTGCTTTTCCAGTCAGTCTGCCATCAGGAAAGGCAGCCGAGCCTGGTGGGCTCGACGCGAATCACGCACTCCTAAATATTCACCCTGTTCTGCACTTCCCACCACACCTGACTGAAAACACTT